CAAACTGCAGCCCAACTAGATTGTGTTTTGTGATGTTTTGTGTCCATGTCATTGGATCTTTGGAAAACACCAACAGCAGAAAAGGCAAGGCCTTGACAGCATTATAGAAGACAACTATGAAGGTGGAAAATTGACCACAAGTCACGTTATGGCAAGCACAGCTTTGGGAGACTTGGCTGGCAAAAGGTCTACCCCTCAATAATGTACCATTTCAATGAATGATTGGGAGGTTTTTCAGTTCTGTATATCTGTTTGTACAAGTGGAAACTCCAGCAGTCCACACTTGTATATTGAGATGGGGGAAAAAGTGAAGTGGCAATTGAAATTTTCAGCGGGCAGGGGCCAAACATTCTGGTTTAACAAAACAATGGAATGCATTCAGACCATTGCTATGATCGGGGGCAGTCTATTTTGCAATACTTGCAATTGAAAGTGGTGATTTTCCATTGCCGGATTACCAGGCGTCGTTGCAATTTATGTCAAACCAAGGCCGAGGTGGAGATCCACATTTTTGTTGCAATTGGTTTATTGATGGAGGATTCGACCATGGCGAGTCAAATTTACACAGAATTCAATGGTTTTTTAACAGTAAAATTAGTAAAAATTGACCAACATTTTTGTCAAACACGGCATGCCCCTGTGGGTTGACCTTAGTTGCTCAGGCAAAGATGCCTTGCCCATGCCTCCGGGCTTCGAATCGTGCGCGTTTTTTTCCTCCGCCAATTTCTGCCAGGTTTCCATCTAGGTTTTTTTTTTTTGGAATTTTCCCATAAGGAAGTGATAGTTGCGAAGCCAAGGGACTCGTGGGGTCTTAGCATGCGCACCTCAGGTACCAGGCACCTGACACCGGAGATTCTGCGTCTGGGGCTCTCGGGCGAGCTCCAGGATTTGTAGATTGGTGCGAGGTGAAGGGTTCCAGCATGATTTGTACATTGTGCATGTTGCACAAAAACAGAGGTTGGGTATGGCGGGTATGGTTGGTTTCCTTCGTGTTTTTGCCTTTTGTTTTTCCAGCTTTGGTTTGCTATCTGGAAAGGGTTTTTTTGTTCCCACGTCGGGTTTTTTCAACAAAATAATTGATGAAAAACGGATCTTGAATAGGCAGAATGCCTGGCTGAAAATTCTTGAAATTGATTTTTGAATGAAGTGTACAAACTCTCAGGCCTGGACCATTAAAACATTGCTTTTGGAGGCATTGACATGAACCACATGAGCCATCACAAAAAACGCGTTTTGTACGGCTCCGAACAAATCCTTCTAAGGTGGACGTCCTGGAGACCCGAAGCTGCTCCCGGCCTGGAAGGTGCCCGTTTTCCCGTACCGTCGCTATTGCACATGTACCATAATAAAAATATTAATCATGTACATGTAGGCAACATATTTGTTCCGTATTTTCGGAAACAACATTGATATGACTCAGTTTTGAGAGGTGAACATCCAGCAAAAAAAGGCTGTAGCCAACACCTTGGAATACCTTGGATTCAACATGCCAACGGATTCGTGGCCAATTTGAGTGGGTTTATATACACAGCGCGGGACACCTTGACGAAATGGGGCCTGGGATGGCATCCACTTGTTGGAGTCCAAATAGCAATGGTTGTTTTGGCCTTGAGCAAACTGGGGATGCGTGAGATTCGAAAGAAATCACTCGAGCCAGATTTTTTTTCAGTCGTGTGATGTTTTGGACAACTCGCATCATCGCGAGCTCACAATTTTCGGTCAATTTTCGTCAATTTTGCATCAATTCCTTGGCCCCTTGACTTCACCATCTCCCCTCATCTTTTTTCCCTCCGCTTCAACCCGCTTTCACTGCAAGGTTACGTAGGAAATGGCCACGTGAACGGAGATGTCAGTGCTCCAAGATGCGTCCGTTTTCGTGTGGCTGGTTGGAGTTGGTGACATCCTCCAAGGGAAACCACCATGCAGATTCTCACTTTGGAGACTTGTGAAGTCCGCAAGTTTGCTTTACATATTACTGTTGTTTTGGTTCAATCCACAATTTTTCTGGGTTTTGGAGTCCAGTTTTTGCTGGTTTTGTGCCCAAGTTTGCTGGTTATGAAATCCCCAGTTCGGTTGGGCTGTGGCAATTGCCCCGCAACGCTGGGTGCTGGTGCTGGTCAGCTCATCTCCGCTTCAAGGTGAAAGATGCTGCTCCCAGCTGGAAGGACGGGTGCGGTGTAGCCCCAACTGGTTTGCTAATGCTCAAAAATGGGCCACGTATCTTGGTTTGGTTTGAGTTTTGAAGCTGTAGATGGGAAGGTATACAAGGTGAAACTAGAAATATGCATAGGTACAATTAAAACAACAACATGACATGCACGAAGTCAAGTGGATTTGTGCTGAATGCTGTGTACTCAGTGAGTACATGGATCTAGTACATGGATTTACTCTTGATTCCTTGCAGTTGTGTCAGTCTGTGGATTTGTTGGTTGTATCCGTACAACCCATCATCCGATTATATCTCCATTATGTTGGTTATATCCACATCATCAACACCATTATACTCCGGTTAACTGTCCAAATCTGAGTTGCAGCACACAATCAGAGGCTGTAGTGCTTAGATGGCAGACTTCGACATTCACCGACTTCTCCTCACTGGATGCACGGAAGTTGTTCTGATTCCCCATGCTCAGAACCATCCATGAATGGGGTTTATGATTGGAATACAACTGATGTAACCAACCATAATGAAAATATGGAAGTGTTCAGTTGTTTTGAGTGAATCTTGAGCTGATTCAAAATTCAGGGGACTTCAGTTGCACGTTTTTACCATGTTTTTTGTGATTGCCCCCCTTGGGGATCCTGGGAAGGGATCCTGCCCCCGGCTTTGGAAACCAGGAGCACACTGACAGCACCCAAGATGGTTCTGCTTGGCTTGGGGTTGGAGACCCGGTCCACCCCAAAAATGCTAATTTCAGCAAAACATAGCATCAAAACAGCCATGTATGGGGGGTAAAGCCCCAGACACAGCCACCTGCATGGTGTCCGGCTGGAACTGATGAAGGGCATCCAATCGAGGCAGAAGACGGTGCCCAGGAAGCTTGGACATCTTGGGGGCAGGACAGGCTGATGGTGTCCTAGGTTTCCTGTCAGCCTAATGGGACAACTTTGGCCTTGTACCCAATGGAAGGTGCCCATGTTGATGAACTTCTTCAGGTTGTGAAAGGATCTTGTTGTGACTACTTCACGTAGCACGAAACATTTTTGAATCCTTTAGGATCTTTTATATAGGAGTTTGTCGAGAGAGGGACAGACTGACATAACCTGTTGTAACGGCTGGAGAATCTTTCAGACATGTCATGAATAGTACTGGGGGATCCCATCTAAAGCGTGTATTTCATATCAGGATGGGATTCTATGCAACTCGTCACAATATCTTAGTAATCCCACACAATATTAAATACCCTGTAAATTCCTAAACTATCTGTAAATCCCCTACTCAACCATGGTTTCCGGGGGTATTAATTTTTACCCATTCAAACTGGTCATATCGCCTAAATAATTCCTGCTCAACCCTTCAATGGCGCAGGACGGTGCTGTGCAATCTCAAGGTGCACATTCGGGGGAATCTTTGGAGATACATTCCCCCCCAAAACAAGAATGGAAAATATGATTTAAACAAATTTAATCCAGCTAGTTCATGGAATTCATGGAATCTTGGGGATTGATGAGGATATGATGTGTTTTTTCTGGGCAAGACAATTATCAACCGTGGGATGACATGGGGTACCCCGGTTTCAGACAAACCCATATGGTAAAATTCACTTTTTCGCCGCACTCAGTTTTTGGTATTCAAGTGTTATGCTTGGAGTCTGTCTCAACCCCTTCTCAGGCTTGCATCCTTTGACTGTTCTGCTTGTCCGATGATATGGGTATTACAGCCCTAGGAGGCAACCTAGGAATCAAAGTACAGGGTCAACCAAAGCACAGTCGAATCTACACTTCATAAATTCAACATCGAAGCAAAAAAGATGGTATCTGGAAGATGTTTTTTCTCCTATCGGATATGGCAATTGTCAATTTCAAGGGGTTCCCTGTTGAAGATGGGTTGTAACCACCCATTCATTTGCCTATCAACTGACTGCAGGTCAGACGGGCACAGAGCCACAAAGCGGTCTGACGGGAGAGGCTGCCTGTCGATGATGGATGGATGGATGGATGGATGGATGGATGGATGGATGGATGGATGGATGGATGGATGGATGGATGGTTGAGGATCATCCATTGATGCGGAGCTATTGATATAGCTGAGCTGATATACCTCCATGTATTTTTTGTCAGACCCTATAATTTCCATACATCTCACGGATGAATCACCGTTGGCGATTCATCACCATGGATGATTTTGCAACAGACAACCACACTGCTGAAGCCGCAGTGGTCAGTAACAACATGTCCCAGTCCTCAATGAACTGCTTAAGAAAGAGTCAGAGAATGTCATCCGAGCCCCCCAATCCTCCCAATCATGCAGGCTGATGCCATCGTGCAGTTTGTGAGCGACAATTGGGACCGAAATGGGGGTTGGCTTTGTGCCGAAGATTTGAAGGTACCAACAGTTGCAGCCAACCGATATGACCTTAAGGATCCTTAAGGAGTGCCTTATGATGCTTGTGAGATTCCATGAAATGACATGAAACATTTTGGTAAAACTTAAGTCTTTGCACAAAAGCGAATTCACAGTCTGTTTCAGCTCCAGCCCGCAGAATCGCCTATCAATTCTCTCTCTTGAAATGTTTTGCTCAGGACTCACCGGAGAAGATGGTTTTGTCTGAAAAGACAAGGTGCTCTGAGGGTGAATTGAAGGATTCTTTGTTACTACTATTCAGTGCTTTTTCGAAAAGTGCCACTGTAGTCCAAAAGTTGAGACAGGACTTGCAGCCTTCAAGTTATTCAACTTATGTAAGTATTGGAGAATCTCGAGTAATCTCGAGTCTCGAGTCCATAGCCGCTATGCTCAGCCCCAGTGGACCAAACTAAGCCTGGCCGTTTGCCAAGTTTAGATGTCGATGTCGATGAAGTTGCTGCTTCTGCCAATAACTGCCTCGGCTGGTGCTGGCCTTGGCTTTCTCCCTTCCGGAAAGGAGCGGAATTTGCAACAGGCGGAGACAGGTGACGAAACGAAGGGGCACCTTGAAATTCAGATGTTCTACCAAACCACCGTTGATCTTCCATATCAGACAATGGTCAACAAGTCAGGGATGATCGACTTAAGACGTGGCCCACATTTGGTAATTTCTAACTTGATCCCCAGGTGGCTGAACTGCCAAGAGAATGCAGAAGAGCTTGTCCCGCCATAGAAACCTACATGGCGGATCTCACCACGCTGCTGTCGGACGAGAGGAACTACGTCGCACGGCAAACTGGACAGCTGGACCTTTGGTGCAAGCATCGGGGAGCTGTAACTTGCGGATTCGAATCCACAGAGTGTCTGCTGGCACCATTTGGCGACTGTGGATTTACACGGATTTACCTCCAATGATCAAATTAATTTTTTGGTCATAAGAATTGCGGAAATTTCTGTTTTGGACCACTGAATTTTTGGGTACCCTATTTTTGGACAATTTTTTCAAATCTGGTGACAGCCGAATGTGCCAAAAGACATTTTTCTGCAGAGCCGATCTCTTTCATCCCAGAATTGGTGGAAGGAAAACTCTGGACCACCCTGTAGTTTATGAGAAAAACCATGGTTTCCTACTGTTTCTTGTACATTTTCAATCATTTTCATACACTTTCCTTTAAGACCCTTTGGGTGGAATCCATTGATTTCAGCGGGCCAACGCAAGAGGTTCCAGCCTGGTTCGGGGCAGCTGGTATCACATGAATGGCCTGTTGATGTGCGCCTGTGATGCTTGCAGCCACTTCATTGAAGCCAACGGTGTGTTGTTAAATGGCACCATGCAGTACAGTCTTGGTGAGGAGAACCTGTGTAGCTTGGCTCGAGCAATAGGGGTTGTCATTGTGATGAGGGTGTGTGGACCGCCCTTCTAGAAAAGTCTTCTGTTTTGTATCTTGATTGTTTGGTAATCCCGAACCCTTTGGGGGTATGCAGCAATGCCTTTAACATCTTTTCAAGAACACGCTATTTAGTCCTCATGGGTCTGCCCAAAATCCTCCTTGGTGAACCAAATCGGTCCATAGGTGTCGAACATCTGAAAGGAGACTTCACTTGCAGACCAAAACTTCAAAGCATCAACGGGACAAGGTATTCCTCTAATATCATGGTGCCAATGAAGCAATGACTTGTGGATGTGAGGGTGATCACTCAGTTCGATAGAAGCAAGTGTCTTACTTCCAATATTGATGCCGAGTTGTTTGTCCCTCATCAATCACGCAAAGAGTGATGCGCTTGTGGGTTGTTGGAAACGGCTGCATTTGCTGAAGGTTTGCTGGTTATAACTACTACCCGGATTTTTTGGGATAGTATGACCAGCATTCTGCATACTGATTTCTCTTGTGGCCCATTGTAGAGCAGAGATCTGCTTCCATGTCAATATATGATGGGAGGATCCCTGATGAACAACTCTATGACACACTGATTCATTTGATTGGCCAAGATTTTCTTTGGGTCCATAAGTGCAGCCGGTGCCATCCGGGCATCCGAGCATTGATGGCCACCGTTTCGCCCTGTTTCGAGGTTCCATGGTGACCACCTTGCGTTGCATCCAAAGAGACCAGAGATGCACTTCGCTGTTCGCAGATGGATCTCCAGTGAAATTTCTCCTGGATTCCAATGGGCTTTCAGCCACCTCAAACCCAACCGCGGAGTGTGACTGCAAAGCCTCGGGCCACTCGTTCTCGACCAGGAAACATCAGGAAACGTGTTTTTGTATGATCTTGGATCAAACATTCAAGACCTTGGGACAGATTTTGGCCACTCTTAGGGTCAAGCCATCCCATTTTGTCACATTTGCAAATTTACAGTCAAATTACTTCCACAGATCCAGTTTCCTCGCAAGCTGGAGGTTATGGCACAAGCTTTGCGAGTGAGGCAAACGCATCAACCTGTGACGATGCTGAATCTCAAAGTGGGGCAGTGGATTTCTACATCAATCTGTTTCCCCTGCTCCTGATGCTCTTAAAGTGAAACAGCAACAAGTCGTTTCAAGTCCAGTGGTTCTGGGTACAGTAGCAGAGCGCAAACCTTCAGTGGGCGTGCGGATGCCTTTCACTTGGTGCGCAACACTTTGTTGTAAAGGATTTTCTCTGGCTCAGCCTTTCTAAAGGAAAGAGCTGACCAGGATTGACCATGACTAGTTACCACAGAGTACACTATGTGGATGCAGGCATGATGCGGATCAAGAAGAACATGTTTAGTTGCTTCAGTCCTAGCATGTGCTTGGCACTCCTATCCGATCCTCGACGCCAGGTTTACAGATTTTGGCTTCAGCGAAAAGCTGCTCAACGTGCGAAACTCATTTTGGATAGCGCTGTTGTTGCATTGGCCTCAGCTAAAATACAAGCAAGGGATGCAAAAAGGGTGCTGGTGAGGTCAAAATTTCGGGTGAATCCAGAGGCTTGGTGGTCAACCCCCCATCGTTGCTGGCTGAGGGCATCTATGAGATGGGCTTTGTGAAACCCTCCAAGGTGCAGGTGTGGAACCCAGTTCCCCTCCCTTCGATGTTTTTATTGCGAATTTCCCGTCCTTTGGGGGGTAAACCATTTAACCTAAAATTCTTAACCACGCTCCACTGACCCAATCTTGCCGTTTGGGGGGGTGTCCAAAAACCAATGCTAGAAAGGGTTTTTTGTTGGCCTTTCCACATGGGTGTTTCACAAAATTGGGGTACCCGAAAATCAGTGGTTCCCGATTCAAAACTGACCAATAACTTAGATGATTTTGGGGTCCCCCGTTTTCGGACCCACATTTTATCGCATATGCCACATTCCCATTATATAATGCCCCCATTGATCCCAATTTTAGACGTGTAAAGTCTTAACTTTTGTTGCGTTTTATGGTTGCGGCATTATCTTCATTCATTTGACAACCCCCAAAAAGATGCAGAAGCACATCACCATGAAAAATAACTTGAATCATCATAACTATAACTCAATTCTAAGTACTGTAGGATTTCGCCGTTTCCATTCTCTTTAAATCTCACGTCCCAGGAAGCTGCTCTGCCCATCATCGCTGGCTCTCCGGGGCGACCGGGGCAGAGCCTGATGGCACAGGTGTGGCGATCGATGGATCCCTACCCTTAAGCGTGGAAAATGAGGATTGAACATTCAACAACAAGCAGAACTTTCATATTTTTTCCCAACAGCAAAACTTTGCTGTGGGGTCTTTAGCCCAGATTAGCTCCGGTGCGATCCGGTGCAGCTTCAACACCAGGTTCCGGACAAGGTTCCGGAGGGTTCTGGAGCAGATACCTCGTGAGGTTCGATACCTTCGGAGGTTCGATACCTCGTGAGGTTCCGGAGGGTTCCAGTGAAGATACCTGCTGAGGCTCCGGAGGGTTCTGTGTGGTTCCGGAGGGTTCAGGTGCAGACACCTTGTGAGGTTCCGGAAGTTTCCGGTGCAGGTACTCGGTGAGCTTCCGGAGAGTTGCGGTGCTGATACTTGGTTAGGTTCTAGAGGGTTTTGGTGCAGGTACCGGGTGAGGTTCCGGAAGTTTCCGGTGCAGCTACCTGATGAGGTTTTGGAGGGTCTAGGTGAAGATGCGTGGTGAGGTTCCGGAGGGTTCCGGAGGGTTCCGGAGGGTTCCGGAGGGTTCCGGAGGGTTTCGGAGGGTTCCGGAGGGTTCCAGAGGGTTCCGGAGGGTTCCAAAGGGTTCCGGGGCAGATACCTTCTAAGGTTCCGGAAGGTTCCGGTGCAGAGACCTTGTGAAGTTCCGGAGGGTTTTGGCAGAGAAGATGCTTGGTGAGGTTCCGGAGGGAGGGTTCCGGTGCAGATACCTTGTGAGGTTCCGGAGGGTTCTGGTGCAGATGCTTTGTGAAATTCCAAAGGGCCAAAGGGTTCCGAGTTTTTTTTTTAATGGCATAAGCACTTACATTTTATGGCATAAGTGCTATTTTTTTGTGGCATAAGCACTTTGTATGGCAAAAACGCAGAAGCTTTCAAGCTGTTGGGGATAGCACCTGAGTTTATTTTTTTGTCTTTGGGTTTGTGCTTCAGTATGGAGGATTTAAGCGGTCAACATGGGGATTTTTCATGATAATTTTGCTTGCTTGATTTTTCTTGATCTGTGCCATTCTCAAGACATGGGATGAATGTGGTGTGGTTCATCCCACAATGGGAATCCAAACATAGTGGCTATGTAATTCCCAATCGATTGATAACCATACATACTCCAATATGGGGTGATCCACCAAAGTTTTAACCACGGCACATCTGATATTTGGGTTAGTGCTTAGATATGGAGTATTTAGTCAGCCAAAATATGGATCCTTCACCAACAATAGGGATCTAACCGGCAAAAAATAATGGATATGGGTCTGTCAAATCACGAAAGCTAGCGTCTGCTAGCTGAAGTCCCTTTTGCTTTAGCAAGGTCTTGGGGGGCTGGAACCTCCAATCATGTGACACTTCTCAATTAACTACCCCCCCCTGGCTGGTTCACAAGCAGTTTGGCCGTGGCTCAATCCCCCCGCGGGGACATCATCGGCGTGTCGCCACCCTAGCTCCCATTCTCAACTTTGCTTTTGCACCACATATGGATAATTCATGATCTAAGCGATGTTTCGTTCCAAGAAAATAGTAGCATGCTGATCATGAACTAACTTCAAGCAGTATACGCTCCTCTTATATGTTTTCTCCAGAACTGGGAGGGCATGCATGAATGGTGGTCCACCCTGAGCTTTTGGCTTCAGTGTGGGGGGAAGGCCTCCCTGGACCTCTCGTGAGGTTAGGGTGGGCCAGACCCTCTTACGGGCGTGGCGGGTCAGTGGAGGCTCCCAGGTCTCTCCGGAGATAGGGGGTCCTCCCTGACCTGCGGGGTTTGGAGCCCGGGGTGGCCAGGCCTTCTCTTGAGGGCAGGCCAACCGTGGTTGCTAAACGGTACTGGCTGCGATCAGGAGGAGGAAAGAGACCTGGGAGGGGGATTTGAATCCCTATCCCTTGGGGCTTGAGCCTCAAGGTCCTGGGAAAGGATCAAGGAGATGGAAGCGGCAAAGCAGAACCTGCTGGCAAAGGGTGGTACCCTCGGGGATTGGACAGGCCTCATTAGTAATGGGCTGCAGCCGGAGGACCTAGCTTGTGTCGACGCGGCAACACATCCTGGCAATGTGCTGGATTACGCCCGGCGGGTGATGAACCGTGACGGCATCATGGAGTATGAGTGCTATGACGCCAGGGGGCGACCGCAGGGAAAGGCCATTATAAGGCTTCTGGACTGGGACGACTACGCCCTGGGGACTCTGAAAGGGGTCCATCTGAATGCGTCCGATCCCTACTATGACTGGTATGCTCGACATGAGTTGAAGGATGACCGAGGGATCTACCACCTGTGTGGGTCAAAGAGGGCCCAGTGCACAGCTCACTTAGGCAGAGGCGACAGGCGGGAGATGGTGCATTTGGAGCGGTGGCGCATGACTAACCCCATGGTCATGATGGAACACGAGTACTCCAGAGACGTGGCGCTTATGGCGGTGAACAACTGGGTGAACAACTTTGCTGCCAAGGTGCCGGAGCCACCGAATCCCCCGGGGCCCCCTGGTGGGGCTAGGGGGGTTGATCCAACGGGTTTGGACAAAGCATTGGCCGCAGCAGGTGAGGTTGAGGAGGAGGATCAAGCTGACAAGAGGAGGAAAGCCGAGAGAACCCAAGTTGAAGTACATCCGAAAGGCTCAGTGGGGATGATGCTGGAGAAGAAGGCCGCTGAGAGGAGAGCAGCTCTGGCTGAAAAGGAGAGGCAAGATCATAGAAGACGTCCTGAAGGGGGACGAAGCCGGAGCAGAGGACGGCGCAGACGGAGGCGCAAGAGGTCTTCGAGCCCTGGGGAAAAGAGACCAGAGAGGTCTGGCTCATCAGGGTCGTCACAGAGTTTTCGAGAGCCCTCTACCCGGCGGGAGGTCGAGATGTGGCGGCTGAGTCGAAGAAACCCCGGGTCCCTTCTGAAGAAGGGGATGGAGGAGATGTCGCGCTATTTAGCAGAGAGGGCACCCGGCGAAGAAGGCGGCACCGGCGCATGGATGGATCACCGAATGATGGCTTACATAAGTCAGGTGGTCCTGACCCAGCACCCCCCGGGGGCCATCGGGGTCCGAAACCACAGGGAGCTTCTGACCCTGGGTCGGGCCATAGACATGCTCATCCAGGGGCAGCTGGGAGAGTTGGGCGACCTCCTCATGCAGAGGCTGAAGGCGGTGGAAACGTCGCTGGTGGATCAGGGGTGGCACTCAGCCAGGCATCAGGAGCTCATTCCTCCCCATGCAGCCAGCCTGACAACGGAAGCCGAGAGGCGTCGGACAGCTCGTTTGGAGATCTCGGCAAACAAGTTGAAGGAGCTGACACTGAAGGGGAGGAAGGGCGACAAATAGGGACTCGGCGGCGGTGCTCGGCAAGCAGAGGGCACCGTGACGCCACCCCGATCAAGTCGGCCGACGGCTTTGAGGGAGAGCGACCATCGGAGGGTGGTCTTCAACGAGAACCCTCTGGTGATAGGAGAAGGAAGCATGGTGGAGAAGGAGAACCCGAAGAGCGAGGCGAAGGGCAAAGGAAAAGGAAAGTGGAGGACGAGGCCGTTCAAGAAGGGCGGAAAAGGAAAGAAGGGGGGAGGAAAAGGAGGAGGAAAGGACTCGAGACCCAAGGAGGGGGAGAAGAAGGTCGAGAGAAGTCCAGCCCCCCCGAAGTCTTGACCGACCAGGAGAGCTTCGAGACGGTGAACCCTGAGAAGGAGGCCGAATCGAGTCTGGAGATGTTCAAGCGGTGGCTGGAGTCGGAAGAGACAGGAGGACTGAGTGTGGCACAGACAGGGGCACTACTGGCTCTCAGCGTGTGGCGCAGCGGAACGCCGTTGGGGAGCTACTTGCATCAGGTTTTGGAGCCCGGGCCAGACGACGGTGTTGCAGGAAGGAGACAAAGGGGGATTCTTCCTTTACCGCTTTTACCTGATGCAAGGGCCGAAATGGAGAAACTTTTCAATGACGGTGAATTTAGGCGACTCGCTGGAAGCTGGGGGGCCAAGAAGCAGAACAAGGAGAAGGCAGCAAAGCAAATCCGACGGACTGGAATGCTGCTGTGGCACGGGCTGGTTGTGACTGGCATCAATGCGCTCTGGACAGGAGGTGGAAATTCAGGAAAGGTCCACCGAGGTGAAACTTCCAAGGTTCAGCAAGCAGCCCTAGATAGGATATGGGAAGTTGTCCGAGACTTTGTGGACGACCGGTCGGAGACTCAAGAAAAAGTCCCCAGGTCACCTACCTTGGGTGAGTGGGGAAAGAAGTTGGGTGACGTCCGGATTTCCTATCAGGGCGAGGTGGTTGAAAAAGCCCACCAATTGACCTTGGCGCAGATCCTGCCGGGGCTCCCTCCTCCAGGCTTTGGAGGTAGTGTCCCTCTGGTGGAACTTTGCGATGGTGAGCTGAAAGAAAAGCTCATGAACCCGGATGGCAACGTGCTGATGGAAGAAGAAATGCCGGAGGACCTCCCGAGGCCTAAGGTACATGCCAGTCCTGAGCAATGGCAACTGATTGCAAAAGAGCTCTACGACCGTGGCTTGGTGGAGCCCGTTGAGAGTCCTTTAGAAGTTAAAGGCAAAGCTCTTTGCAACGGTGCCTTCGGTGTGGTCAAACCAGGCAAATTCTTGGAGGATGAGCGTCCGATCCTCCGACTCATAATGGACTTCCGAGCGGTCAATGCTGCGACTCGGATCCTAGAAGGAGACGTTCGAAAGCTGACTGGGGCCCCGGCCTTGCAACATATTGTTCTCCCGAACAGCAGCGTCTTGAGAGTTTCGGCAGAAGATCTGGTTGCTGCGTTCTACTTGTTTGCATTGCCGCCAGGGTGGTCGAAGATGATGTGTTTTGGTGAGAAAGTACCCTGGACAGCGATGGGCATCAGCCGGCCAGGTTCAGTATACCTGGGGGCTAGGGTGTTGCCCATGGGCTGGGCCTCAGCAGTGGGTGTCCTTCAACATGCTCACCGAAGGTTGGCCCTCAGGTCGCCGCTGTCAGGTGGAGCTGGCCTGCTGGGGGCATGTGAAATCAGACGGGACGCAGAGTTCCCGGATCTGGAGCTGGAGCGATCGATGTGGTCGCTTTATTTGGATGATACAACACTGGTGGAGGTTTTGGACAATCGTGTGGCGAAGGAGCTGGAAGGAAAGCCCTCGGCTGAGCAAGAGCGGCTGAGAAGGGCTTACCAGCACTGGGGAATCCCGGTGTCCAAGGAGAAGGCGTTGGTGAGGAATGAAGCGGCCGAAAAGCTTGGGGCCGTGGTTGATGGAGAGAAGGGGATCTTGAAGGGGTCCACAAAACGGGCACTGGAAAGCCTTTCCCTGGGGTTCTGGCTGTTGCGCCAGGAGCGTGTACCCAGGAAAGCCCTCCAGGTCTTCTTAGGAAAAGAGGTGCACACGATGCAGTTCAGACGGCCTCTCTTTGGGGTGTTTGACTACCTCTGGAAGGATGTGGCCCAGGGCTCCCCGATGGTGGAGCTAGGGCTGAAGTCGGTAGAGGAAGTGCTGCTGAGTGGAGTGCTGCAGCCTCTGAGGAGAACGGACCTGAGGGCAAGGCTACATGAGCTGGTGACCGCCTCAGATGCCAGTGAAACTGGAGGAGGAATGGTGTATGGGCACAAACTGTCCCAGCAGGGATTAAAAGAGGTGCTGGCCATTGAAGAAGGCTTGGACGCGCCCCCAGTAGAGGAGGTCAATGTGGATGGACCGCAAGTGGTCCTGGCAATTGATTTCTTTGCTGGGATAGGTGGTTTATCTCGTGCCCTACAGCTGGCTGATGTGGAGGTGGCACACCTGTTGGTGGTTGAAAATGACCCTGATTGCCGGCGGCTAAATGCAGTCAGGTGGCCGGGGTGCGAGATGATGAGCGACATCCAGAAGATCACGAAGAAGGAACTGGAGAAGGTGATCAGAGGAGTGCCTGGTTTGACCGGGGTCATTGCTGGAGGCGGCTCTCCGTGCCAAGGATTGTCGCAGCTGTCGGCCAACAGGAGGCACCTCGAAGATCCAAGGTCAAAATTGTTTTACCGCTTGTGTGAGGTATTTGGGTGGATCGCTGACATATGTGGTGAAATGGAGGTTTGGAATGTGAACTTCCTTGAGAATGTGGTTGGTGATGATGCGGATGTCGAGGAGATGTCAGAGGAGCTGGGAGCGCCACCCCTTCGAGTGTGCTCCAGCGGGTTGTCTCGTGTGCGGAGGCCCCGACTGTACTGGAGCAATGCCGACTTGGAGGACCATGGGAGTTTCACCAGAGCGCACTATGCTCTCTGGGACGAGCTCTGCTTCGAGGAGCAGTTGGAACCTATGGAGCTCTTCTGTGATGAGGGATGGCTGTGGGCAGCTGGAGATCAGGATGAGGAGAAGAGGCTGCCTACTTTCACAAGGGCCATTCCTCGAACCAGGCCCCCCGTGTGCCCGGCAGGCATTGAGCATTGCAACGAGGCCACCTTGAGGAGGTGGAAGGAGGACAAAATGAAGTACCCGCCGTACACCTACAAGGAAGAATTCTTGTTTGAGTCAAAGAAGGACCCAAGCAAGAAGAGGGTCGCCTCAGCCAGTGAAAGAGAAAGGTTGATGGGATACCCGACAGGGTACACGCTGGGGCTGTTCAAAAAGGAGCCAGGGTCCAATTTTGAAGTGGCGCAGCAGGAGGTAGCACGGTGCGCTGCCCTGGGCAACAGCTTCCACGCTGTGACAGTGGCCTGCCTCATCGACCTGTGGCTGTGGACGGCTGGGGTCCGCACGGATCCATTGGGGGCCAAGGTCATTGTGGAACGATGGCATAAGGAAATTAATGAAAAGGCATTCAGCGATTTTGGAGGGCTGCTCTTGAAAGAAAAGGAACCAGTGAGCGTGGACCTGCAAGAACTTGAAGGGGAAGAAAAGGTTATGAACCAAGACGGGGAGCCACGCAACGCGGAATGGCTGCGTATGTGTGGCCAGAGCCACGCGAAGGATGGTCCAGACCCACTAAGTGTGAGGTTGATCCATCAGTACCTTCGAAGATGTGAGTTTCGAGGGTCAGACATTCGCCTGGATCTAGGTGTGGTTTTTCGTCCAGATGCTGTCAAGAGGACGAGCATTGACCCGCGGAGGTGGCTCTGGAGAACGGCCCAAGCGTATCGCTGGGGTAAGAAGGAGCACATCAACCTTTTGGAGCTTCGAGCAGTGCTGCGGACGCTTGAATGGAGAAGCCGTAGCGCAGCGTTTCACAGCTGCCGTTTTATGCATCTGTCGGACTCGCAGATCGTCCTGGCGGTGTTGACTAAGGGCAGGTCGTCGTCCCGTCGAATCAATCGTTTGCTGAGAAAAGTAGCCTCTCTCTGCCTCTGCCTGAACTTGTACCCCCTCTGGGCGTGGATCAGTAGCCGGTTAAACCCGGCTGATGAGCCATCAAGAAAATATGGCTAAAGTGATCCCCCATCGGGAAACCAAGGCAGAGAGGAAGAAAGAGAGGCAAAAGATTGGACGGCTGGGAGACCAAAAGATTTCACCTTGCACGCGAGAGCGATACCACCACTCTCTCAAGGAAGTGGCCAAATATGTGAATTTAAGTCCTCAGATGCTGCTGAGGCAAGACAATTTGTAGAAATTCTTTGGGAGGATGGAGAGTCCCGTTCCCAAGGTAGCTATGCTATAGCTGCCATCCAGCACTTCGCACCTGATGCAAAAGGCAGGCTTAAGAACGCTTGGAAATTGATGGGGTTGTGGCAGAAAATTGAGCAGCCAAGGCGTGCCACTCCGTTAGATCCCTCCTTGTTGCTCGCGTTTGCTGGGATATTTTGGAAGTGGAAATGGGAGGATTTGGCCTGTCTGACCGTGGTTGGATTTGCTGGACTCCTGCGGACGGGTGAAATGTTTGCCCTGCGAAGATCAGATGTGGTCTTGGCGCGCAAAGCAAACCAGCCTTCCATCATATTTCTCTATGACACAAAAACTGCAAAGCGCAATCTCCTGACTGCAGAGAAGGTGCTGATCTACGAACGGTGTGCTAAAGCATGCCTCCAATTTCTCTGCAAAAACAAAAATGGCACACAACGCCTTGTGGAGACAGCGCCGGCAAAGTACCGTGCAGTGTGGAAGGAGATCGTCGACCACTTAGGTCTGAATTCATTTCACTATTTGCCATACTCTCTTAGAAGAGGAGGAGCTACGTCCGCCTATAAAGAAGGCATGACTTTTGAACAGCTTCTCATCAAAGGGAGGTGGCAGAATGTTTCAACTGCTAGGTTGTATTTGGACCAGGCTTTGCAGGAGTTGACTCAAATCCAACTCCCTCCCACCGCTGTTGCTCGAGTCCGCGCAGCCAAGCTGTGCTTTAAGGCTGCCGGGCTGGGACGCGTGGAGGGGGAGGAGTGACAAAGCCTGGTAGTTTTCTTTTCCTTCAGTCATCTTAAGCGCTTAAGGATGGCTGTGTACAGCCTTTTGACAGGGGGCACCTTGGCCCGGGCACAAAAGTGCGCTTTGAAGGGACAAGAAGGGTGGACGTAATGTAACGCATGTTTTCTCCAGAACTGGGAGGGCATGCATGAATGGTGGTCCACCCTGAGCTTTTGGCTTCCCCCCTTCCTTCCCCGGGCTCCTCCATCGTGACAAAGCCTGGTAGTTTTCTTTTCCTTCAGTCATCTTAAGCGCTTAAGGATGGCTGTGTACAGCCTTTTGACAGGGGGCACCTTGGCCCGGGCACAAAAGTGCGCTTTGAAGGGACAAGAAGGGTGGACGTAATGTAATGCATATGTATATATGATTGTATATGTATGTACATGAACATTATATATTATGAATTGCCAAAGTAGGTGTAAACGACTTTCAGGCTGTATAGGCAATGTTAGGTACGTACGGTGTGTTGGTACGATGATATATGGTTCGGTACGGTGGTACGGTACGGTGGTGAGGTGGTACGGTACGGTGGTGCAGTGTGTTGGTACGATGATATGATGGTACGGTACGGTGGTACGGTACGGTGGTGCGGTGTGTTGGTACGATGATATGTGGTACGGTACGGTGGTACGGTACGGTGGTGCGGTGGTACGGTACGGTGGTGCAGTGTGTTGGTGCGATGGTATGTTGGTGCGGTACGGTGGTACGATGGAAGTGGTACGGTTAAATGATGGTAAGGTGGTACTCATTGAGATGTAAAAGGTGGCGTATACCACGGCAGAACTTGATGATTGTAGATTTTTAACTGAACATGATCATCAACCATAGACACCTTATTGTCATTGCTGAAATAGCAGTTCTTGCTCTAAACCCTAAACACCGAATCTGTGTCCGGCGGAGAAAACTACTAGACTCACAAAATAAGCGCTGTAAATCATTTTTATGTTGTGAAGATTTCAGGATACGACAGCACATCTTGCCAGAATATCATGTATCTTATCTTATTTAGATTCACTGGTTTTGCTCAATAGGCTACCCTGATGGCCTTTGAGGCCTGTGTAGAAACTCACACAAACAATGGCAAGAAAACCGCATGCTTTAGTGACTTTAGTGCAAATCAACATCAACAAACAACAAACCCAAAAAGCAAACCCAACACCAACGTACACAAACAAAAAACTAACCCAATAAAAACTAACCCAATAAAAACTAACCCAATAAAAACTAACCCCAAGCACCAATCGCACATAAAACTACCAAGGCAACAGCAAAACACCAGAACAACAACAGGAAAATGGAGAACATGGATGACACTGAAAACCAAATATAATACTCTACAAATTTGATCAAGTTGATTGCAGTGGATGGAAAAAACATCCTGCACCAGTTGATAGCTGCTTTATCCCATTATTTACAGGGTTTCCACCATCCAAGCTGGTGCAGGATTTCTTCCATTCATTGTTGGGAAGCATGCGAAACAAATAAATGACATGAAAGGAAATAAAAGAACACTAAACGAAATCAAATGAAATGAAACGAATTGAACATGACAAAAACGGACGCACGCCATCAAAAGCACAGCGAGTGGCATGCATGGGACGGCATGCATGGCACCAGGATTCTAAACAGTCTGTGCGATTAGCAATTTGTTGTGTAGCTCTTGCATATTGGAAATTCTCGAGTATTTAGTTTCACATATTATATTCGGAGTTTGGAATTGCAATTTCTGGTTAAATGACACACAAGTGACCACATCAATGAACTCACAAGCAGACCCACGATTCGACAAGAAAAATGCAGCAAATGCACTCACACGCAAGCAAGGACCATAGAGGGGGCCATAGAGGACATGAATTTGTTACTGTAGCCAGACGTACATGGACGCAGCTCACCCGTGGGCCATACAAACCAGGTCGTGGTTTGTGACAAGTTTTGTATCTTGTATGTCAGTAATATTCACAACTACACAAAAGTAGAAAAAGCAAACAAACGCGCAAGCAAACTCAAGTAGAAATGCAAAACAAATGACAAACAAACACAAACAAAAAAAACAACTGATGTGGCCCCTTTGCGTTTGTGGTCGCGGATCCAATCTGCTTTAGCTCTGAAAACCAAAAGAAAACACAAAGATAAACATGATAAACTCATTTTGTTTGAGGGATCAGAGGCATTTGTTTAGGGCTACTGATTTCCACCTTGGGCATACTGTATACTAGAAAAAGTAGTAGTGTGCGCATCCGCATAAGTTACACGAAACGGCATGGGGCCCAACATTTACCAATCCAGAAGTCATTTTTGATCATGACCCCGTGACCTATCGAAAATATTTTATTTCAAGTGGTGAACCACCAGGGCCACTACCACTACCATCACATACTACAGTGTCAAAACCCCGCACACACACAGCCTTAGACGATTCAGTCCGCTTGTCGACGCAATCTCCCCTCATGAACTTGAAGTCTGAATGCTTTTTGTGTACAGTCTAGATGCCTATATAGCACCAGTATCACATACATGCGTCCCTGCATGAAGAAATGCGCTAATATATACTAATATCATGTATATAATATATGTGTCCAACAAAAAATAACATACAGTGCCTTGCATCTAGAGTGTGTCTCGATATTAGCAGTCTACCCTTTTGTGCTGCACACATCTGCACACTTCATTTGGCTGAGCTGTTATCCATGTGTGTTCTCACACAATCCCTAGATTGCTCAATTTGCCACCCGCTTTGCATTTGATGTGCTTCACTTGCGTTTCATGTGTTGCTATTCCATATATTGATATATATTGATATATATATATATGTGTAGTTGTGTGTGTGTGTGTGTTCGTGGCCTTATTGTTTTATTGGGTGAATTTCTGCGCCAGGCATTTGCCTTGCGTCTGAAACATGTTAATACATACGAGGCTTTGTGTTATTTTGCGTTTGGGTACCTGATGGTACCTGCATATTCCCAGTCTTGTGAACTACACCATAGTAAAGGTGTTGAATGCTCAAAAAACATCCTAAGAATCAATGCCGCTCCATGCTAACTGCGCTATATCTGTCCCCAACAATTCGACCCGACTATACCCCAAAACCGTACCACCGCACCCTACCATTGTACCAAACCGCACCCCAAAACCATACAACCGTACCACACCATACCACAAAACCTTACCACTGTACCACACCGTATCCCAAAGCCGTACCTCAAAACTTTATAAGTTGGTATCTTTTCGTAGGGTCGGGACTGTGCGAGTGTACCCCAAAACCGTACCCCGAAAACCGTACCCCAAAACCGTACCCCAGAACCGTACCCCGAAAACCGTACCCAAATAAGGACGTATATCGATGTATCTTTTTGAGTGTACCAATACTACTTTAGTATTGGTACACTCAAAAAGATACATCGATATACGTCCTTATTTGGGTACGGGTACGGGGTACTGTTCTGGGGTACGGTTTTGGGGTACGGTTTTTCAGGGTACGGTTTTCGGGGTACGGTTCTGGGGTACGGTTTTGGGGTATGGTTTTCGGGGTACGGTTTTGGAGTACGGTTTTAGGGTACGGTACGGTGCAGTGGTACGGTAGGGTGCTTAGTATTGGTACACTCCCGACCCTACGAAAAAATACCTCCTTTTTCTGGTATATACAGTAAGTGAGACTGTTTTGGGGTATGGTTTTGGGGCGCGGTACGGTAGAGTGGTAAGGTACGTTGGTACGGTTTTGGGGTACTGTACAGTACAGGCGTACAGTGGTATAGTTTGGAGTTGTTCAACTCCGATCCAAACTTTGCGAATATCGTGCTGAGATGGATTGAAAATATTGAAACTACACATCACGTGAATTTGTCTGATGCACTCAAGTGACTTGTGTCCGACCTAGCGCAGTTTCGGTGGTACAATTTTTGGGTACAGATCCAGGTCAGTTATAGAGCGAATATATGCGATTATGATTTATGGAATTGCGGTTGCAAATCTCTAGAAAGGCCACACATCGGAATTTGAATTTTCACGTGCAACATGCGTAAAAAAACATCAAAAGGCTGGATGTATGAATCACATTAAATCACAGCTTAAAACCCATTCAAACTACATTTGTTCATGAATGTGTGCTTCCAAAACCACATTGAAGAAAAGCAATATTCTGAGACAACTCTTCTGGCCACCCACAACGATCGAAATAGGAGAAACACTTTGAAACAAACAAACAATATTCTGAGACTCTCTGCTGGCCACCCCCTACCCCTCCCAATAGCAAGACTTCTTGGAACGCGCTTTCGTTTTGACTTTTTTCAGCAAACCTCGAGACTTTTGGGAATGTTGTTTTTTGTCTTGATCTCCTAGAACCCCAATCTCAGGATTTCTGGAACAGCGTGTTTCTGGATGTTTCTGGTATATTTATATAATGTCTTGTTGAAACCAAGACTCAATCAAGACTCCTGCAAAACCTTTCGTATTATTTGTTTGCTTTGTCTTCTGCAGGGGAGCCAAGACATCCGGAAAACTAGTCTTAAAAGCAAAAAACACTTTTCAGCTGCAATAACTATTTGTACTTTTTTGAAAGGAATGCTGGTTGTTTACGAGTTTGCATTGTCAGAAACACACCACTTTCTGACAGGAATACTGTAATGGTTTGTAGCGCAGTTTCACTGCTTGAAAAGAACACCGAACTTGAAGAGCGCTACCCTTTCAAAAGGATTTGTCAAAGAAATAGTTTTTTAAGCATTGCAGTTGTCGACAGAATAGCATATTATATGTCAAAAGGAATTCCATGTTTTTGCAGGGAATACTTGAAATTTTGAACCAGTACTATTTGAAAAACACCGCATCTCTCAAATGAAAACTGTGTGTCTCAGACACTGCACATCTTTAATTGACAGCTGTATCTTTCAAAGGAATACTTCAAATACAAACAGAACATCTGCTGAATGTTGCCTGCATTTTTGAATTTAACATTGCATTGGTTCAATCCATGTTTCATATTTGGCCGATGTGTTTTGTACATAAAGCACTGCCCTGGAGGAATATTGCACCCATTGAAGAAAGATGCATGTTTTGAATGGACATCTTTTATATAAACTTGCATTATTGCACAGAAATCTACATATTTCCTCAGGTATTTACCTTTGAAAAGAACCGGCCTTGTTACATAAACAATTGCATACCCTTTTGAAAGAACATTGCGCATGTGGAAACGGAACAGTTATTTTCTTGAAGGAAGACTTCTTCTTTGAGAGAAATGATCACTGAGCGCTGTTTCTGGAATACTGAGTACTGAGTATGCCTATCTTATTTGGGCATATCTATTAACATGTAAATTTGAATAGTCAAAAAGGAATGATCAGTTGAACTCCCTTATCAAAACCAAGAATTATACAATAATCTTACTTCTCTCAAAGGTCAAATACTGCACTTTCTTAAGAGGATACAGGACACTGAACTGTTTGTTGGAGTTGCACACCAATATGCGGGCAAGTGTGACGCCCTCTTATTCTGAGACATGCTCTTTCAAAAAGACTATGCGTTTTACTGTGTGCCCGCAATCCAATGTGCGCAAAACAATTTCCGATCTTTAAAACCTACATTGACATAGACTTAAGGACAAACCATTATATATAAATCTTAAATCCCCCTCAATGGCAACCCTTTATTTAAGACGCCATAAGACATCAATATTACTTTACCCTAACCCACTCTCTCCTTTACATTGTTTTGTGCACCAGTTGTGACCGGTTTTTGCTTTGGGATGTTTATCTTCCACAAGGTATCGTATCAACATCTCACCACGCCATTACAGTGCACCGCAGAATTCCCTACCAACATCTCGTCGCACCAACATGCCACATCATGCTACATCACCATAGCGTACCAGCATCTTATCTCACCCGCGTGCCTTACCAACACATCGCAAAAACACCGTACCGCACCAGCATCTCATCCCGCAACACAAACGACTCACTGCACCACTGTATCGCACCAATTTACCATACCAACATTCAATCGCACCATGCCACCGTACTGTACCAGATAACACTGAACCACCCCAATACAGTACCATCATATCGCGCTATGTATTAAAAAGCTTATCATAATCATATCTTATCATTATATCGTGCCATGACCCCAAAACCGTACCACTGAACTGTACCACTGCACCGTACCATGACCCCAAAACCGTACCATCGTACCGCACCATGACCTCAAAACCGTACCCTCCAATCGTACCCCGTTCCAAGCATCCAAATTCACACCTACTTTGAAAATTCATAAAAATTATATATGTATATGGACGTATGTACATATACATATATATATATATTTACACATGTATATATATATATTATATATATATATCGAAATTCCTCAAGGGAATGGCTTCATGTCGCACCAGGCGCAGAACGGCTCCGGCAAGACCGCGGCGTTTTCTCTCGCGGTGCTGTCGAGCATTGAGCTGGAGGTGCTAGTGCCAGCTGTGGTCAATTTTTTGAGACTGTAAGCAATCACCCCTTGACCAATTTGGGATTCCCTTTAGATCCATGATTGATCGATGGTCCATTTTCAGAGCTGATGCAGCCACGCCTTCGGGGATTCCTGTCGGTGCACTCATTCGCATGCTGCACCCTACTTGCCACTGCCAGTACCTGCAGCCACAAGCGATGGTCATCAGCCTGGGGCCCAAGGTAGGTCATGGTTGATGAGGGAAAATGTGAGCAAATTTCAGGATCACCACAGCCCCGTGGGTAATCCCAGCCCCTCGAGAATCTCTAGGGCGGGGTATTTGGCCTGGCTGCTGGTGGCTCCTGGTGGCTGCGGTGGCTCCTGGTGGCTTCGTGGCTTCCGTGGCTCCTGGTGGCTCCTGGTGGCTCCTGGTGGCTCCTGGTGGCTTTTGGTGGCTCCTGGTGGCTCCTGGTGGCTCCTGGTGGCTCCTGGTGGCTCCTGGTGGTGGCTCCTGGTGGCTCCTGGTGGCTCTGTGGCTTCCGTGGGTCGTGGTGGCTCCTGGTGGCTCCTGGTGGCTTCTGTGGCTTCTGTGGCTCCTGGTGGCTCCTGGTGGCTCCTGATGGCTTCTGTGGCTTCTGTGGCTTCTGCGGCTTCTGTGGCTTCTATGGCTTCTATGGCTGCTGGCTCCTATGGCTCATCTATCATCTATCGATCAATCAATCTATCAGTGAAGCATGTTCATCAGGTGCATGTTGTGCATTAGATACACATCCATCTATCTCTATCTCTATCTCTATCTCTATCTCTATCTCTATCTCTATCTCATTCTATCTCCATCTATATCTATCTATCTATCTGTCTGTCTGTCTGTCTATCTGTCTATCTGTCTATCTGTCTATCTGTCTATCTATCTATCTACCTATCTATCTATCTATCTATCTATCTATGTATGTCTATCTATATCTATGTCTATATCTGCATCTACATCTACATCTACATCCATATCTATCTATCTATCTATCTATCTGTCTATCTAATTCCTATCTATACCTATCTATATCTATCTATGTCTATCTATGTCTATATCTATGTCTATATCTACATCTACATCCATATCTATCTATCTATCTATCTGTCTGTCTGTCTGTCTATCTATCTATCTATCTAAAAGGTTTGCATTATCATCGAGATGATGTTCAAAGCCCAAGCCAACCCTGAACCAAACCAAAATATACAGACCACCAACCTTATATAAAGAGATCTTAAACCAACACGATGATAACATCCAATGAAACTATTGTGCATCGTTGTGCCTTAACCTACATTCCACATGCTTCCAGGGTGCATGTCGTGTAGTATATACACCTTGAGTATCACATTCAACCCAGCACCTTGCATATGAAAATAGGTGTTTCCAATCTGCTATGGGTCTCCCCCCAATCCGCCCCCCCTTTTTTTAAATTATTTAAATTCAAACTTGCACGCTTTTCAATACACTAGTTTGATTCGACTATATTTATATACATACTTAAATATTTATACATACTTTTTATACATATATATATATACATGTATACATATATAAATACACATACATACATACTTATAAATATAAATATATATATATACATATATATATACATATATATATACAAAAAATAAAAAATAAATAGATAAACAATATATATATACATACATATTTATGATTGTTTATACACAGCTTTCATCCCAAAATAAACCATAAATAATCATTCGCATGGATATGCATCCACATAATTATAGTTATTTGTATGTACATGTTGTATCCCTAAATAACCCCTAATCCAACCCTAAACAAACCCTGGTCAGACCATAAACCAGCCCTAAAAAAACCTTCAACCAACCCTAAATAGACCCTAAACAAATCTAGAAGAAACCATAAACCAACCTTAAATAAACCCTAAACCAAACCCTGCATATATATATATAATAAATACATACACGTGTAAACATACTGATCTACATATACATATAGTTATGATTAGTCATTTATATATACCTCTTTGCATCTACAATTTATAGTTTGCACATCGTGTATTTCCCAAAATCAATGACAATCAATGAACACAAGTGAAAACTGAATGAAAACCATGCACAAATTGAAGAAAAACATAGAAAAATTGAAGCACACCATTGAAAAATGGAAGAAAACCATGGAACAATCGAAGAAAACCATAGAACAATTGAAAAAAACATGGAAAAATTGAAGAACACCATGGAAAAATTGAAGAAAATCATGGACAAACCAATGAAAACGATGGAACACTCGTTAAAAGCCATGGAAAAAATCCTGGAACCAGTGGAACAATTGATGAACAGTGCGAATGAGAGATTTTAGCTACAAAATGCAGCACATGAAAAATTTTAGCTGCAAAAACCAAGGAAGGGAGCCTGGACGACCAAAAAAAACATGCAAAAAAAAATAACGATTGCCAACTGAATTTCGCCCCAATCTCTTGACATTGGCGCATGTGAGAGCATTGGCATCATCAACTGTACGCTTGCACACATGCAGAGCTTCCAGAATCCAATGCAGTGGTCTTAGAAACTAATGGAAACATAGTTTTGCATGACACTGGTTCCTAAATCTTCAGGAAGCACGCATCACCATTGCTCCCGGTTGGGATTTTTGTCTTGAGTCACCGAGTTTGAGGTCCGACCAGAGAATTGGCGAAGCAGAATCAAAGTGTGATCAATGAACTCGGGTGCGCCTGTTTGCTTGGGAACAGGGGCAAACTGGGTCAAAATGTTCCATCCAGTTGTAGTTCTTTGCTTTTGGGTCAGACTTCGAAGTCCATAGGTTCGGTTCATGTTTGGTCTCAAGCATCCAATCTCCTTTGGTCACAGCAGTAATTTGGCCCATCCCAGCCCCCCTGAAATTTGCTCAGCCGCTCAGCTGATGAATCTCTGCAGGAAATATCTGGAGGTCAAGACCCAGTTGGTATGTCCTGGAAACGATGAGGAGACCATCATCCATCGGGCCGTGGTGGAAAGGAGGATGCCAAGTCTATCGAACAGGAATCGAGTCAGCAGCCTTTAGTGATCCGTAGATTTTTGGTTCTACCCTCCGTTGAGTTCGGGATTTCCCAGCCACGTATTGAGAGCCATGGAGGGCATGACTTTTTCCGTTGTATTTGGTTGTATCCTTCTATACCCTCTGGTAAACTAACATAACTATGGAAAATCACAATTTTTCATGGGAACACCCACTAGAAGTGGAGTTAAGTGGCCATTTTCAATAGCTATGTAAACGTTTGCCATAGGGTACACCTTCGCTCAAGACCAGCATCAAACCACTTGGATTCACACACCAGCCGTCCGGGCGCAGGATCGGTGTCCTCGCGATCCCAAAGCCCACATCCTCATTGGCACTCCCGGAAAGCTGTCGGACTGGCAGGGTCTTCCGGATACACAGCCCCCAATGTATGATATGTATGGCAATTTGACAACGCCAGGCCGCCAGATCAACATGTGTTGGATGTAGAACAAGCGAGCCCTCATTTTCAAAGCTTGGAAGAGGCTCACCAGGGCCTCGAATGGCTGATCTTTATTTTGACCAACGGGAAGGTCACAAATCCTGACCAAATTCCTAACGGCTTTTGTCCAACCGCACGCACCCTTCTGTTCTTGGACCACCCCCCAGGCCCCCAGGTTGACCAAACCCTTGACGCACAACTTAGACTTAGGCCTCACATAAACACTTTAGTATGACTACTACCACATCAGGTGCCCAGTTTTCGGAGTTTTCGGCGCCAGGACTTAGCAAAGAAGAAGATCATCAACTGTTGGTACGTGAGGACCTTGGTCCTCGATGAGGCCGATGTGATGCTCAGCGAGGCCTGGATGGGATGATGGGATGCCGCAAGGACGGCGGGTGGCAACGATGGCAACGATGGCAACCGGGACGCCAGGAGAACCAAATGGGTTCGCAGATTGCAACCATCAAACAGCAACTCCAGGATGATTTGCAGGCCGGGTCTTGATATTCCAAAGAGGTGGTCTCAGCATTTCCAGTTGGTGCTGGAGTTTAGTTGCTTCAACTCGCAAACATCTGGACATTTTGCTGGTGATACAGGGAGACACTCGTCAAACTACCGAGGTGCTCTTCTTTTCTGCCACCTTTCCAGATGATGTTCGACACTTTGGTCACGGCTTAATACCGAATAGCAAAGGGATCAAGGCGGGCTTGCAGTGGATTGGGTCTTCTCATTGCGATGTTTTGTTCATGACGAATGGGGATCGTATGTAGGTTTCACCTTACAAAATCCTTCAAGTCATGCCATGTCTTTTATCCGATTTATCCGTAAATATTCCCATATCCCTAGAGTAAATACACCGGTGAGTGTGATGGCTGTGCCCTCCGCATCCGCTGCAGGTGTCCAAAAAGGACCTCACTGTATCCAGCGTCTTGTGACTCGGCCGCCTGCTCATCTTGCGTCGCTTGAAACAACCTCATTTTGATCCCCCTGAAAAGTGCTGAATTTTGGAGGTGGAAAAATGGTCCATTTGACAATGGGAGAGCCATGGAGTTCCTCAGAATATCTCTTGGACAAAGAACCACCGACTCAGACCAGTGGAAGGGTGGGTGAAGAGCCGATGACTACCAAGCCTCCAAATCTCCTCGGTTCATTTTCAGCCAAGACAAAATGATTCATTTCGAGCCACTCATGAACTCTCTTCACCCTCCTAAAATCAATGATGCACAGGCAAGTCTACATGAACTGCGCAACAGAGGAGGAGAAGTTCAACCAGCTCTGCAATGTCCCACCGCCAATTTGCCTAACAAGTCGGGACCGGTTTGAGCTCAGCTTGAAGGAGATATAGTGCAGTGAGTTGCCTTCTTGATTCTAAAATCCAGATGATTTGGATTTGAGGTGAATTTGAGGGATGTTGCTGAGTAAACGCCATTGCCCAGACTTTTGACGTTTTTTGGGACCATGATTCTCACAGCATGTTGTCCTGCGCCAGCTCTATGCATGCTTGAACGTGAGCCAAAGCATCATCTTCGTGAATCGGAGGGACAAGGCCTGTGGATGGCAGACTGGTGCAGATTGGGCAAGTTTCTGCGTTGGGCTTAAGAGCTAAGACTGCCACAGGTCCCAGGAAAAAAATTGGCACATAGCGGACATGCCCTTTTCTGAGGGATAAACCATGATAAACCTCTTTTGATAGGCCCCACGGTATGGTTTTACACTTGCTTCCATTGCTTCCCAACTGCTGTGTCCGCCCGGCAGCCTCAGTATTGTTAGGCTCATCACAAGCAACAGATCTCTAGATGGGACAGGACCCCGGCGTAAGCTTCATCGGTGCGTCGACTAGTCATCGACCTCATTCAGTTCACCAGACCACTCTGATACATTCAAAACATTCTGAAACCATGAAACATCATGAAAACACCTAGAGTTGTGACCGTCTGTGCTTCGATTGCAAAACCATGTCGCTTTCCGACGATCTCATCATCAAATCGCAGTATGGCCATTCGTTTCGGCACTCAGGATGTGTTGGGAGATGGGGGTTCATTTCGCCCAGGTGCCACAGTCAACACTGGTCACCCACTCCACGATGAATTTTATCGTGAAGCGTTCCATTCATAAGCCAATGCTTGGGGTATATCTCTATCATGCAAAAGTTACCCTCTGTTAATTCAACATAAGTATGTGTATGTATATATATATAATATATGGAAGATGACCAAATTGCAGATGACCTACCTCTTAAACTTGACGATTTTCATTCATTTTCCATAGCTATGTCAAAAAAAACATTAAGTATGTTCAAAAGCCATTTAAGTAGGTTGATGAAAGGAATCCAACTATAGTAATCCAACTTCATAGTTTACATCCCAGTTCTCTTCACCATCAAGGGACCCAGGATGACCCAGGTTTCGACGCTTCGATTCCACCGACTTCGCTGCGAATCAGATGGCCGCGGTGCCGTTGCGGATGGCGGATGGCTGGGGATGGGAGGGGATGGGTAAAGATGATCAAGTGCAAAGATGACCACCCAAACTTTGGGGAGGTAAAGTCAGTCAGGATCTCTTTTTTTTGCCCCAACTGTTCAACCCCCCAATCATTTTCTTGACAAATGGATGAGTTTAACCAGCAAAATGGAATTGATAGAAAGGTGATTGGCAACAGGAATTGAGCCCCAGAATTTGCTGACTTCATCTGCGTGTGGTGACCAGAAATAGGGAAAAACATCTGTCAAAAGGCCGTTCATCTTTGGATTTGAGCCTTTACAGTACGAGGTAAGGGTATGTAGATAATTTACACATAACTTCCATGTTTCGGTATGCCCTGTGAAAATTGGTCAGCTTTTGAAGTTCGGGGATGCGAGCCAGGGGTCCACAAGGCACTCACGCAGATAGATGCATGAAAGTGTCATTGCCCAGTGACCACTTTGATTGCGAGGCTCCTATGACCTTGAGAACGCGAGCACTGACTTCAACTACCGATGCCTTGGTTCGAAACGTATCATGCCCCCACGTTGCACGTTTTTCAGTTTGGCCAATTGAGCCATAACATACTTTTGAGGCGCCATGACAAAACAGCTGCAGTTGAATTTGAGCGAGTGCATTTGATTTGACAGATCCTGCCGCACGCATTTCGCTGTGTTGGCAGCGGAGCCTTTCGAGCTCCAAGCTCCCTCTGATCATGATGGCCGCAGACGAATCTCCAGTTGACACTGAGTTGGATTGGGACGCCAACGACTTCGATGTTGACTCGATGAATCCTGCGATGAGCCATGGTCTTATTCCACCGCCTCCCGATTACCATTCTGGCTGTGACACGTCTCTACTTTCCGAAGAGCCTCCAGCATTGAGTCCCATCGACCAGTCGGATGATGGACGACCTCGCTGGCAGTGTGCGGTTTGCAATAGTCAGAAGTGGCGTTGGATGGCTGGTGGATACCGATGTGAAGACTGCGGTCACGATAGATTTTACGATGCAAATCAGTCGACAGGTCGTTGGGTTTTTGTGCCCCACGGTTCTCCGATCCCACATCTCGGAGATTCCCTGGCTGGCAATGATCAGAAGCTTGGCGATCCAGGTCCCTCTCGACCACCTTCAAGCGCTGGCGGTGGTGAGAGGCAAGCAGAATCAGAATTGGCGACCACAGATCCGAGTGTTGATCCTGACACGATGTTTCCCATGAGTCGACGACAGCGGCGAGCAGCTCGACGATTGGATGCGACTGGATGCGGGGTCAAAACCGGAGTTGGTCATAATGACAACAATCAGCAGTCAGGTTTGGGTGCGATCAACAATGGTTTGAGCCTTGGTGGACAGCAACAGCTTGACAGACAGACAAGCGGTGGCAATCAGTGGCGTGACGACATGCTGAAGGGTTTGAACACTCTGGCGACGAAGAAGAAAGACGATGATTGGAATCTGAAAAAGGGTCCATCTCCTGGTGTGAAGTACAGAGGGGGAACTCCTCCAGCTCCTCCATCCTGGTCATATGCAAAAGACGATCTGCGCGCGTTCCAAAAGTGGGAGCGCAAAGTGGAGATTTGGAAGATTCAGGTTGCAACCTATCTGCCACCCAATGAAGCTGCTATGCTCCTTTATTGCAGTCTCAAAGGTGAAGCAGAAGAAGAACTGGAATGGTGTGATGTTAAGATGATCAACAATGACAATGGGGTTCAATACATCATTGACAGCCTTCGGCAGCCTTTGATGACACGTGCAGTGTATTTGAAACGAAGATACTTGCATGAGTTTGAGTATATTCAGCGTGGTGCAAACGAAACGATCCGTGCTTTCTGCAATCGCTATAACAGGGTTGAACGTAGTCTGCATTCTGTGGGCATTGATGTTCAGGGCATGTATGACAGCGAAAGCAGGGGCAGTCGACTTTTGGAACGACTTCGCCTGGGCCTTGATCAGCAGCGTTTGATTTTGGTTGCGAGTGGACAGTCCTTGCAGTTTGATGTCATCCGTGAAGCAGCTCAGATTCAGTTTCCTGAACATCGACCGACACCTGCAGTTGTGTACTCACGTGAGTTTGACAACCCTGGAAGATCAGAAAGTTCCCAAGCATCAAGACCTTCGCAGCCATATCAGAGACCTCTGGACAAAGGTCATTCCAAGGGCAAGGGCAAAGGCAATAGCAAGACATCCCATGGGTCTGGACCTTCCAAGACTTATGTGACTGAGGTTTCCAATGAACAACCTCAGGATCAGGAAGATGATGATGAGCCTCAGCAAGAGGCCGACGATGCTGAGCCTTTGGATGATGCCGACGAAGTTGGAGAGACGGCAGATGACGACCAGTCCAACACTTTGGAAGAAGATTTGGCTGAAGTGGCGCGTTGCTTGACAGTGACTGCTCGCAGACTTCAGGGGATCACTCTTGGAAGAAAGTTTTCAGGTCCTCCGAAGTCCCTGCAACAGCGCAAGGCCGAGAGTCACTGCGCAGTTTGCGGTGAGCGGGGCCATTGGAAGGGTGACCCTGAATGCAAGCAGTCTGGCGGCACTGACTCTGGCACTGGCAAGGGTGGATCCAAGCAAAAAGGGTCCAATGATCGAAAGCAACAGTCTGGCGGCAAAAAGGTGTTCCAGGTGAGCCATCCAGGGGGATATCATCGTGAGGTTGCCTTCAACGACACCCCTGAATATGACAAGAGCAACCCCTCGGATGAGACCTATGGCAAGGCTTTCACTTCGTTTATGGTTTGGGTCCCGGACTTTAAGATAAACCAGGTCTATGGCAACACCGCCAATTCCTTTAACCATTACCTCATCCTTGACACCGCATGCCAGAAGACATGTTGCAGTGCGTCATGGTTAACTTCCTGGGAAAATCATGTCATGAAGTTCAACATCTACCCCAAGACTTTTCCATGTCGGGAACCTTTTGAATTTGGACACGGCCCTACTCAGTACAGTGAACAACATGCTCTTTTGTTTTCATGTTTTGATGGAACCCCTGAGACCACATGCATCATCGGAGCCAGCATCCTCCCGACCACAAACGACATCCCATTGCTTGGCAGCAATCAGCTTTTGCGTGAGGCTCTCGGTGCAATCATCAACTTGCCGGAGAACCAGGCCCATTTGACCAAGCTGGGGTGCACGGTTCCGATTTTGATGTTGAACGGTCATTTGGCTTTGGACATTTCAGCATTTCCTTCACATGTTGATCAGACAATGCAGTGGAAGTTTGTTCATGAACATGCTGATCTCAAGTCCATTGATGAGTTTGCAACAGTTGAGAATTTGATGGCCACCCGTGAACCTTCTCTCAAATCAGCAGCACCTGATCTACACGATCAACCTGACTTTTCCAATTCGATTGCCGCGACAGCCGATGCCAGCTCCACCCAAATGGCTTCAGCATTGGCGACGCTGCGTGGCAGCTCTGTTCCATGCCGAGATCCTGCTTCTACGAGTGATGACCCAAGCATGCCGTCTCGGTCTTCGACCTCGAATGTGGCTGCAGCATCAGGATCCAATGAACATGGAACAGATGCAAGCTCTGTGGGACAAGGCAACCGCCCCATGCGAGCACCCGAAGTTCAATCGGTATGGAAACCGCCACGGCAGGTACAGTCAGTGCCTGCAGTGCGAAAAGAAATGGCAATGGAACGAAGATCTTCAAAAGTGGGTCGAACCAGCTCCATCGCGAAAGCAGCAGCAGCCGCTGCCTTTACCATCCTCGTCAACAGCTGCGCACTTCAAGGACAAGCGGTACCAGCCCAAGTTCTACCAGGAACATGCAGCGGATCCACCATGCCTCCCTCTGGATTCCATGCCCGAGCCGAAGAGTTCATTGAAACCTTCGAGGGCATCGAGGACCCGATCGGCTTCAGTCAAGAGAAGCCAGGAAGAGAATCAGGTGGTGTTCGTGGAAGACGAGGAGATGGAGGACTTCGACTGGGCCCTGGTCCAAGACGTGCCCAATCAGGGCTGAAGAAAGGTGCCCAGACTTGGTTGACAGGTCATTTGAAGGCCCAACAGAAGATCTATGAGAATGAAATGAAGATCATGGACAACATCCCATGCTACCGCACCTTGCACTTGGAAGGACCTCACACTGATGTCCTGACCTTGGATCTCATGGAAATCTTTGCAGGCCGTGGA